AATATTCTCAACATGTGTGCACGGAATATGGATCGATGCAGTAATATCGCGGCAGTAATATATCACAGGTCAAGGATTAACTCACGCACGGGCTAGTTTCGAAAGTATTGACCTACTAACAATCGTATATTATCTCGCCTCGACGCGCGATTATTTAGCGTGTAAACCATTGCATGCATCATGCGCTCCACAGCGGTCCGAAAACAATGCTCTTTAAACCATCAGAGCGTTATCCGGTGCCGCGGGAATAAAACAAAGAGCACCGATTGCCGATGACATCTGACGTGATCGGACCACCGACGGTGGTCTCTCGTCGGGCAATCGGGCTTATCCCCACGTCGACGAGATCGCCAAACCCCGATTAGGATCCCCAGATCGGGAGCGAGGCCACGAGTGGAGCGAAGCTCGCGGCTGCGACTCCCATCCCGAAAATCAGCTCGAAAGACGGCGACTAAAATGCCAGCGGCGCGAGATCAAGATGCGCATTGGTTGCATTTGACGTCGAGCGTCAGCTGCATCCGCGCCACGCGCGTACATTTGCACATGCACCGTGTCGACGTCCACGTCTTGTCGTCGTCGAATCTTCGCCCGACTAAGTTGGGAGGCAAAAGAAACGTGAGCGAGGAACATGTGCAATAGCAACGACAAGGACGACGACGACGACGACGACGACGAAGTCTCCGGTCCCTCTTTTCTTTCTTTATTTTTATTCCTATTTTATAGCTGTCTCTTCTTTTCGTTAAAGAAACAAAGAAAGAGAAAGCGCAAAGTTTTATTGCGTATTCCCGGGCGATAATTTATATGTGTAAAGCTCGCATAAGTTTCAGAGCTCACCCCTGTCACCTCCAACATCCTGATCCAATCGTAAATCTGGTTAGATTCCGTCGCCAGGCAGTGTCTATATATGCAGTCGGAATGCGTTTTCTCCCTCTGTCTCTTCTGTCTCGCTCCCTCTCTTTCTCTGTTATTGTTTTGATGGCGAAATAATCGCAGGGCGCAATGTGACGCTATAATTAAACGGGTAGTTGATATCGCAGGTTCCAGCAGACTTTGGAAAATATTTATTCGAGATGCGCTTACTGGATAATTTGATGGCTAATTTCATCTATCGACTTCAATTGAATGAATATTAAATTGATAGCGAAGCTTTTCTTATTGAGCGCTGAAAATTACACATTTTTTTTATAACTTGTATTCGAGAATATATTATATTTTTATTAACAGTGCATTTTAAATCTAAAATTATAAATATAATAAATATAATAAGAATATTTTCTCAAAAATTTAAGATAATAAAATCTTCATATAAAGATGTAAGAAAATAAATATTTTATATTTTTAAACTGCAAAAAATAATATTCGTTAAATATAGGTACATCGAAAAATTATCATGTCTTTCATAATTAAAATTAATGAAATCGATAAAATATAATATTGACTGTGTATATGTAGATAATAATTCAAATTATTTTTGCGAGAATTATATAAATTACTCTTATTAAAAAAAAATTTGGGAAATATTTTACCGCGCGATATTCATCGAATAATTTTCATTTGCATATGAGAACCGTAGTAGTGATTATTCTTATTTTTATTTTTTTACCGACAACGATTCATCATCCAATTTATTTATTGCAAATATACTCGACATCGCGCGTAGTCAATTCTATCGAGATGGCAAAGTAATCCTGATACTGAGGTACGGTGCAACCTCCGAGGCAAAGCTCTTTCCCGATTCAATCCCGGGCGACCACCCACCGGCACAAAGAATGTTTAATATCAGATTTCATGTGCGGGATCGCGTTGAGAACGGGCGGTTCGGTCCTACCGATGTGAATGACGCTCGTCGAGCCATCCAATATCAAACGCGACGACAGCTTTGTTTCCGCCTGGCGTAAACCCCCTGGCTGGGAATTTCGCGACGGAATACCGGGACGGCACGCGGGATGGTTCCGAGTCTAGGTGCTCGGCAACGAAGCCTCGCCGGTGTGATTTCTCCTTTCGGATCTCCTATTATCTCCTAGGCTGGTCCGCTCTCGCGCGCATTACGCTCACCTCGATCGACTTTCGGAGGAACGACCTCACCCTCGACGATTCGCACAAAGCGCGCGTCGGGATTGCATCCGAAGAAATTTATATTCCTGCTCGTTCGCTCGCGCGCAGCGCTGGATATTCCAAAACGACTCTCGCGGAAAATTCAAGACGAGCGAGCGCAGTCACCTCTCCGCGAAACCGACCCTCGAGATCTCCTCCCGCGAGAGATCTCTCCATCTCGCTCTCGCGAAAATAAGTACGCGTTTCGTCGCGTTTTTCTTAAATTAGAATTCTCGCCACGACGTGAAGCGGACATTCCTGCGGAATACTTGTGGATTGTTGAAACTACGTTTTAAAATAATGTTTAAGTGATGCTCTTTGATTGACAGTTTAGGTAACTTGAAATTGATTTCTTCCTCTTGATAAGAATTCGATATGAAGCCATTAGTGTTACAAATTTCGCACTCTTTACATAATGTGAAATTTTATTATCTATTCAAAATTAATTAAAAATATTATTAATATGAAAATGATCAAAAATCAAGTTTATAACAGATGTGTCTACAAATGTCTAGATATCTAAAATCTATATTCCTAATATATATTAAACATTTTTATTCAGATTCTTTCTCAATCTTGAATCATAGCAATCATGATAAAAATAATATTTTAACGAAAATTGCTTTAAACAATGTGATTTTTATATCGAAATTATTTTTGAACAGATAATAAAATTTAATTTCAATAATTTCATTAATTTCAATCATTATATATATATATGAAAAATGTATAAGTGTTGAAGCAATAAGGGCTTCACATTGAATTCTTCTTTCAAGAGAAAGAAATCAATTCCAAGTTATCTAAACTGCCAATCAAATATCGATAATTATGAGTCTCATTAGTCGATCGAGTAAACATCGCCCCCAGGAGCAAAATGTAATTTCCCTCCTCATATTCAGCATCGTGTATCGTCGTTTAAAATTATTCCCTGATTGCTAATGAATTGCTAATGAATTGTTAGTTGTTAGCAATTAAAAATATGCCAGTTACTGCTGCATATACGAGACATTAAATCATTTGATAACTGAAATGGTGTGAGAGACCTACTAAACTGACGATGTTCATGACACGGTCGGATGTTTATTTGATTTACTAATATGCAGCACGTCGATATAAAATATATTCTGGTAGAATTCGTGATTACATGATAGTACGTTTAAAACATTAAATATTTTAATTAATTTCCTCTCGCAACATATGCAATTTGCAAGAGGACCATATATTATGCTAAAATTCTGCGAAATAGAAGAACAGAGTTTTAGAAAGATAATCCGACCCAATCTTGCAGAAATTGCATCAAAATGAAGTTATTTTACTGCACGTAAAACGACGAAATAGAGTTTTCATAGCGTTTTTGCAAAAAAAATTCAAACAAGAACTTGCTGGAGAATTCCATACGCGAGTGTGCTACACAAAAAGGTTTCAGTAAAACTAGGAAGCTGCACTGTTGAATCCGTGCACGTTGCTCCCGTGTGCGTTATTCTTTTTCCTTTCTTCCTATATGTTATTTCTTGTTCTACTGACCGGGCGCGTAAAGTACAACGACAGGAATTGGTGACACCGAAATACGAACACGTCAATCCTGATGAAAATAGAATTTAAAAATCGTCTATGCATCGAAAAGCAATAATTCAGAATACTATTATATTTGAGTAGAAAAACAAGCAGGGAGATAGTGTTTTTTTTTTCATTTGCACAAGGTTCGAAACATCAATTTTGCAAAATGAAAAATCGAAGGTAACGCACGGCTAATGGATAAAAAAACATTGTTACACGAGCATATGTGATATCAATATATTCGTCGCATTAAAAGTAATCCTTATCAGTGATGCATTTCCCTCATCTCGTAATTATTTATAGCAAGATGAAACGTAATCCCCTTGCCGTTGTGACGAGAGAACGGTAAAGCGTATCATATTGTTTTTCGTTAAAGCGCATTATTAAACACCACGAGAATGACGCGTATAATTACGCTCCGAAAGAACAAACAGCGGGAGTTTAATTACGCAATTTTTGTGCACAAAACAGCCCATCGACAAAAGCGTAATATAATATGTTTATACGATGAAAGCCCCGCTGGTCTCTTTCATGCGATATCGCGATGATAATAAATGGGGAACGTTATCTCTCGCGTTTACGAGAGAAGTGAACCAAACGACCCTCCCCGTAACGAACTTCTCTATATCCTCGCAGCATCCTTAGTAAAGTCATACGTCAAAGCACATATAGGTTAATTATACGCTCCACATATGCTCCCGCGCGTCTATCTCGCACGTATAAGTTTTGTAATCCTTAGTCCTCAAAGGCGGATCTTTACGTGTATCTTATGCGCGATTAAGTTAATACGTGTACGTATATTAGATACGCCTTTCTGTGAGAAAAGCGTATACAGTTTGTTCAAATTTACATCAACAATATCTGTACACCGTGTCTAATTAAACAGGGGAAAAGCGAATCAATCTATTTTCTAATAATAGCTATAGAGATATATATCTACATCGAAGAGTAGGATAATATAGGAAGTTGAAATAATGATGAAATCTCTAATATAATACACAGAGCACCATAGCGTCCATAATAATAATAGAGATGATAATAACGATAATTATTAATTGCAAACCACGATAATTATGGATAATATTACAAAGCATACAGTATATTAAATTTCACTAAACGCTGCACTGGACGTTTATATTCAGTTCAATTGTGTTTAAAAAATTGTACATTGGAAAATTGAGGTATAAATATATTCGACGATTTGCCGCGACATTTGTAGTAATAATTTAACAAAAATATATATATATATATAAATAACAAAAAATATATATTGAATGCAATTTCGAGATTAAAAACGGACAATTATGGGACAATTAATCCAAGGCAAAATTCCGTCATTTTCCTTTCAGACATAGCGCACGGGAACTTTACGCCCGAGGAAGCACCGACGACCGAATCGCCGATTCAGAGCGACGTCTTCGTGGAGAAGAACGGCGCTGCCGAGGGCGAGCTTCCGGTTTCAACGGCGAAACACGACGACCCTACGTACATGGCGGTCGTGATCGGCGTGCTGACCGCCGTCATACTTTCGCTCGCCGTAGCGATATTTCTGATTGTCTCGCGACACAGGCAACGCAAGTGTTTCGCCAGCCCGATGACCGGCAAAGCCCCTTCGCATCTAGGCTCTACCTGCGCCACCGTCGAGAAAGGCGCGGCTTTGATGGCGTATACCCTGGAGGACGATGAAAGGTGAGAGATTACCTATCACTTGATAATTAATGCAAAAATAAACGACTGAAAAGATCGGCTATCAAAGTCGACGCGGTCTTACATTTATTATCCTAATAAAAAAAGTCTAGATATAAAATTAATAAAATATAATTTCTTTTCAAACGCATTAACAGAATCTCATTGTGGTTCATTAAAATATAAATTGCTAAAATGTAAAATTAAATAATTTTAAAATAATCCTTTTAAACGTTTTGAGAATAACTTGCTACATAAAATTAATAACTTTACAATGATCAAATTTATCGACAGTGAGTAGCTTTGGATGATAATTATTTTTTCCCGACATTCTCGTTCATTATGCGACTATCGATGTCTAGAGAGGCAAAGGTATAAGATCATTGCGAGAGAAGTAATCCGACACTCGCTTTTGCGTCAAGCGCGCTTAATGATAATACACGATTACACGAAGGCTGTATTCCTCATTTCTTCCAAGTTTGTGTCCGCTCAGGACATGCTCAACAGGATGACGGCAATGGCCTTCCAATAAACTTTCCATCCACCGTGCTCGTTAGCGAATGTCCAATAACGTCCAATAACGGACATCCTCGGGCAATATATCGAGTTTGTGCGGCACGAATGTCTCCAGAGAAGATCTTCCAGCCGCCTCGTAACTCGGAAGCATCCCGCACAAGCTTCGGCATCGATCCTTCCCTCCTTCCCCTCTCTGCTCGCTTTGTGCAATCCGATATTGCAGTTGCGAGCTTCGTATCAAAAGAGAACGTGTAACGTGCAACTTCAAGTAGGCGTGCGAATGCTACGTCGGGTCTTTGACAGACCGCGCGCCTCGCACGTGTAACGCTAAAATTTCCCAGTAGAAAATATTAACTCCTAAAAACCGGAGATTCGGCGAGATAATTCGCAATGTCAAAATTATATTGCGAATTTTGCATACAAAAGTCTCTTTCCTTAAATATATGTGATTCAATTAAAAGTTGTATCAATGTAAAATTACGTTTCATCAAATAAAGCAATTCGATTCGTGTGATACGCGATAAGTGATCGATAAAATGCCCAGTAATTGGAATAAACAATTGGCTATCGATACGACGGACGTATTCGATAGCAAAAGGAACGTATGTCGCATCGTTAAATTGTAAAAATCCCAAGCGATATAATCGAAGAAAGTCCATCGCGATCGAATCAATGCAAAACGATACTTCAGCCTCGATTTTCCTTTTTCTTTCAGATACGCGGGTGGTTCGCTACCGACCTTGCCGCGCGACCTCGGGAATCGTCTCCTGGATATCGTGAAGCTGGACGACTACCAAGAGCCGTACCAGGCGCTAAAGTACGCGCCGTATTATAGCTACAGCACCGTCGTTATGGAGATGAAAGACATGATGCTGAACAACAAGGGCACCAACATCAATCACTCAGGTATGCGGCGCTCGAACGCGCCTACACCAATATCTATACGGCACGTATTCGCGATTACGCACACACGCATATACGCACACATTCATTCGCCGCGGCTCCTGTGCCAACGGCGGTGCACCCACATACGTCCCGGCAACAAAGCATTCGCCCTGACCGCAATCAATACGCCATCCCCTTCTGCGCTCGCTCCTCCTTTGCTATATCATCCGCAGCGGTGTACGCGAACGGTGCAGTTGACACGTCGTACGATTATGCGGTACCGGAACTCGGCACGGTGCCTCTGCTCAATCAGGACGCGGGCGCCGGTCGCGGGGCGACCGTCTCCAGCGCCACCGGCGATCAGGACAGCCTCTTCTCCAAGAGCTCGCGGGCCACGAAGACCGAGGACAAGAAGGTGAGCCATTCGCACGTTTCTATTTTTCATCTCCTTCGTTGTTTAATCTCCCAGAACATGAAACTCATAATGACAACTCATTATGACGTCACCTAAAAGTCATTTTAGAAAAATCATAATGATCTCATTTGATATACTTTTGGCAATGTTTTGGTGACTTATTAATATCATTTTTTATATGTATCACGCAATTACCTGTTTATTTAATTATTCATGTATATTTTAATTATATTTAAGCAATGTAATCTTTAAAATTATATAATGCGATTATTGAACTTAAAAATTTATGATTCCTTTTGTCATCTTTAACTCATTTTTTAAGCATTTTTATTTAGATAACTGATAAATAAAATCATGATGACGTCATAATGATGTCATTATGAGTTTCATGTTCTACCTGGACTGTGTAATTAACGTTGAATATCTGCCGATAAAACCCAACAGAAAGATAGATCTCTCTCTAAAGATTTCGATATAAATCAAAATACAGAAATATAAATTTGTTATTAAAAACGGACAATAGAAAACGAGATATCTTTATATTCAAAATCTCAATATCATGAGATAAAAAGTTATAATAATAACGAGAAAAATCGGGAGAAGAGTTAATATGTTATATCGAGAAATCTCCGTTATCAATGTCAATCAAGTTCGATATAATTTATCTTTGATTTTAAACCATATAAAATATCTCTTAAACATAGTATAATCTGTTATCGATTACGTTTTATATTTTTGTTCAGTTGATACGAAGTGTGCAATCGTGGATATCGTAAAAACAAGAGGTCTAAAAAAATAATTGAAAGAAGGATAATGGCATTAAAATTTAAAATTTAATGATTGACCCCGTCTGATCTTAGCCGTGTACTGTATAAATAAAGAGCGGTGAAAAAAAATGCGCATCGTTGTCGCGGCATTAAACGTAACTCTCCGCCCTGGACGGAGATAAATTCACAATTAATAATTTAAATCAATATGGTGGAACGAACGCGGAACATTTGGGGCGGATATACCTCCCGTGGGTACAGTATAACGTAGCTCGTATCCAGAATGCCAGCACACTACACGAGGGCGGAAAAGAGCGCAGAAACCCCTCCGGGTCGACATGAAACACGCGAGACGATCCCCCGGGTTCTCCATCGGTATAAAAAGAATCACGGGATCGCGCGGCCGAAGGTCAATTTAAAAGCGCGTGATCGATACTGACAGATGCTTTTTTTTCGTGTCGACCGTGATACATAGCGATATCGATCAGCTGGAGATCGGCAAACATATCGTATCGGTGCAACAAAAGTTCTCTGCAAAACGTTCGTTCGCATTTATGCACCTTTCATGTTCGGGAATAATGGATCATAGAGATATCGTAGTGATCAAATCGTTATGGGTTCTACACAGAGAAAATATTATAGTAAAAATTATAATATAATTTTTGTAATTGTAGAACATATTAATATATAATTCAAAAATCATATATATATTTTTATTCAATAATATATATTAATAATATATTTTTTATTATAATAATATTATATTTTATGAAAGAGTATATTGTGTATAATTATTTAAATATGATTATGTGCACAAATAATTATCACAACATAATTTCAACATAATTTATCATTTTTATAAAAATATATTCTAATGTCGCTATAATTCAAACTTTATAATAAATGTTGTGAAAAAGAATATTTTTTAAATGTAATTTGTACTGTAAAATTTTCTCCGTGTAATTATCTGCGTATCGGTCATTGTTGGTATATCAAGATTGTTTCGATGAAATTAAAATTCATCAACAGAATAACATTTGCGAAAGCTATATTTATGCTTGCCAATTTTATTTACAGACAGAATTTTATTTCCCACACACAAAATTATATTTTTTAAATTCTGTACTTAATCTAGAATCAAAAGTTCCATGTTCTATTTATATTTTCGAGATTCAAAATATGTTAAAATTTTGGTCTTTCCTTTGATTCTATTAAACAAGTATCCATAATTCTTAGTAAATACTTTTTGAAACAAACATTTTTATGTTAGGTTTAACTTTAATATCTATGCTTGATGTATAAAAAAATATATTTATTACACATTTTTCTGTTGCAAAACGGAAATAATTAACGCGGTGATCTCCGCGATCGGTTCCCGCGAGATATCATCTCTGTGACAGGAACGACACGGGAGCTCGTAGAAAGATAATTGGAGCGAACTGTCGAATACCGGCGATGCAAAAACGGCCGGCGTGTAACGCCCCGCTCTGCTTAGACGATAAATCGCTATCGCGGTTCGTCCGACACGCGCCGGAAATAAAGCCGGGGACTGCGACGTAGTCAACGCGGTGTCCGCGATGAAATCGATCGATCGATCGTCGTCGGCCGGTCGAGCAGCGAGCCAACTCCCGTCGACAGGACGCGTCGACGAGGACCCTTTCGCGGATACGCTGCAACCCTCGTGGAATGTATCATCATTACGCGGTCCGGCGGCTTCCGGGCCAGTTCGCTCCGTTAATTGCGGAGAGAAAGCGCGTCGTGTAATCACGTTTTCGACCGCCCCGCCTCCAACAGCGGAACGCATCCGCTCGACATCACAAAAATATTACGCGATAGGAATTGATTCCACGATCAACCGTCCCGATGTCGAGTATCACGTATCGCCGAGAACACACGGCTCGTACATACAAAATTTCATGGCGCATTTGATAATTTTCGGTTTTAAGAACCACAATGTGTATGGACTCTCTTTCCCCCTCCCCAGGTTTTACAGTGGCAGTATAATAACATCGCGTCGGAGATGCGGTACGAATAAACAAATTTTATGCGAATAGTTGTCCACCGACGCGGAGAACCTGGACAAGCATACAGATAAAATATATCGCGCGAGAAGAAAAATAGCGAGCTCTACAAGTTTGCGACGATTTTATTTCGTGCTTTTTCACGAATGCAGAGGACAGTCGTTCCTCATATGACAGATGATTTGGACACATTCGAAATGTCTATATCTTTTTACCGTGTAATATTTTTTATCGTAATGGTATCTATGAGAAATTCTGCACGTTTATTTGAGAAATATAAAAAAATAATCTCGATATGAGCATTTGCCGTCCTGCTCCACGATCGATTCCCTCAAAGTCATGAATGCAAACAGCTTCTTCACCGTCGAGTGAGTCCTTTCTATGCGTTCGGGATACACGTGTGTCCCGCGGATAGACACATCTGGTATCGCGGTTTGTGTACGGTTTCCGCGGCGTGAATCGAGATTGATCCGAGCACAATGCTCGAAACGGGACGCTCCGGATCCGAAAGTGCCCGTGTCTACGTCGAGACGTCTGCGCATGATTGACATCCGACAGGACCACTCGAAACAGTCAAAACATTTCACCCCGCGTGTCGCGTCTGGCCTTGACGCTTCGTAGCAACGCCAATCATCCTTCTCGGCGGATTCACTGTTATCCGTAAAACGACGATTACTCGGTGAACACACGGTACACTATTTCTTTTCATGTCACTCTCATTTATGATGGCGATCGACTTTTGCCAAAACCAGACTCTTGCGATTACTTAGTATTCTCCTAACTACACAGGAACCCAATAATTAATTTTCATCGTACGATAATTTACAACAATATGGAATTATCAACATGAAAAACGTTTTGTGAATCTTAATCCTTCAAAAAATTCGCAAGTAATAAAACAATTTAATATTTTGCATAATAATATTTTTTATATGGTAATGTAATAATTTAATATCTTCCTACGCGTCATTCACCTTTAGAAAAATGTTCTTCCTGAAAATAACGCGAGATGTTATCTAACATTCTACGAGTCCGTCTGCTTCTCCGATCGACAATAAGTTTACGATCAATGGAGCACTTGTAAGTCGTACTACAATTCTGTGCGCTCTCTTTCTCTCTTATACGTATAAACCCGATAATCCGCGAAAGGCGAGGATCGAAGAGGGTAAAGCTGTTCGTCGAATGACGGCCATAGATCTTACGATACCCGCGATGCGCCCCAGCGCGACTAGCGTGATCATAGATCGTTGATTATCGTCTGGATAGCTCGCACAATGCATTTGCGCTTTCGTGTTGCAGTCGCCGACTCAACAGGAGGTACTCTCAGCCCTGAAGAGACGTCTGGAGCAGACTAGCGTACCGCTCTTCCCACGGCATCGCCTTCGTATGCTCTCCAAGCTCGCCGAAGGGGCCTTTGGAACGGTAATGACATTGTTATTACACCCGCGAATAATAAGTATATTTCCAATTGGTCACGAGTTTCTAGGATAAGATGAATCGTTTAGCTGGCGAGCCTACGTATGTTGATTAATTGCTAATATTCGAGCTTCAAAAATTTGCAAAAATATCTAATGATTAATTGCTGTGTCCATCATCTTTAATTCTTTAATTTGCTTTGACAATTATTTAGATGGACGAAAACATAAAATATGCAATTTATCAGCTTTTAAACAACATTTTATCCGTCTTTCGTTTTAAATTATTCTAATGAAACATAACAAAAGTTTGTTGCGCTGTTGTAAAAATTCGTCAGCATCAGCACAATCGCGCTTACGCGAGCAGAAGTAATTTCAAATGCGGCCAACTATTTCGTGTAAATTCGCGATGCAACGTGTCGCTGCCTCCTACGTCGGGACGACGATCGCGAAATCAATCCGTTTGTTGGCCGTCCGGGCGATTCAACGCTGCGCCGGATGCGCAACAATACGTCGATTAACGAAGTGCCTGGAACGTGTTATTCTTCGCCGACACAATGACGCCTCGTCGCGTCAGGGGTCGTCGAGAATAATCAGTTTAGGATGCGTTACAGTGGCTAATAATTCCCCTTTGTTCCCGCCCCACCTCCCGACACCGGACGGCGCATCGTTAATGACGACGCGACGAGGAGGATCATCGCTTCGTTTCGCGCAGTTCGCCAGTTGCCGCGTCAGAAATCCGCGGGACAGAATGCATCCGCATGCACGCGCGGTTGTGCGGACTTTGCAGGAGATCGGACACGTCGATCTCGACTCGGTCATCGACATGCGAAATCAATCGTCTTCGTCCGGTAGGAAATCGTCGAATCTCTTACGCGTAATATCGCGGAAGGATGCACTAGTCGTGGTGCGTTACGCAATGTGCATACGATGATCGATTATTCTTAGCCGCCGCTCGAAACCTATGGATTAGCATTGCTAGGACTCAAACGGGATTTCCTGACGGTTTCTATCTTCGCGCATCGTTTTATTCAATGAAAGCAATAAAGCTTGTTTATTCCGTATCAATCTGAGAAACATAAATGAAATTACAAAAATGTGCGAGGGTAAAGTATCAATTTTTTAGCTTACATTCACTAAATTAAATTTTGTGTATCACAAAAGAATCCTACGATGTATGTAAAAATAATATTGAAGAATTTAGAAGCTGCAGAGAATACTAAGTATCTCTTTTGTTAAGTGTTCATCTATATGCAATTTTTTCAAAGTATGGTAATTATCTTTAATGTTGGAAAAAATTCCCCCAATGTGTGCTCGGCGTAATTGGAAAGTTAGATGAAAGTACATGTATCACTGCGCTCCCGGGCAAAATTATTGTTATTATCACTTGTATAATCGAATAATATGTATAATATTAACGGTGAAAACGGAGTTGGTAAAAAGCCGGCTCATGCAAAGTCACGTACGACGAGGTTCGTCAAAATCATGGTAAATTACGGAATTTCGGCCGTTCCCGAATTTATCCTGGTCACTTCTATGCATATACATAACGCAATTCAAACAAATTATGCACATAAAGGTATACGTGGCGGAAGCTGAAGGGATCCCGGAATACGGAACGACGACCACCCTCGGCAAGCGACTCGTCGCCGTCAAGTTTTTACTGCCGGAAGCCAGCGAGAAGGAAAAGTGAGTATACACGTCTGTATGGAAGCCACAATTTACATTCCGTTTCGTTATAGCGATGCTCGATTGAGCGCGCATGCTTTCCTCCCTAACCCGTTTCTCTCCCCCTCGTGAACAACGATAAACCTTTTAGAGCCACGTAGAGAGATGCGCTCACCGGTTGCGATTTTATGCAGCGTCCGTTGTTATCTATCGACCGATAGAGCTGTTAGTCGTGAGTTAGTTATCTTGCCTTAGTAAACGAATAGATCGACTCGAAGAAGAATAAGATGCGATTTCTAGAGCGCATCGCGAGAGACAAATTGATCGCAAAGCGCTAGATCAAGATGTATGTTCGGATCCGACAGATTTCTTATATCATCTTGATATTGCATATGCATTAATTGAAAGCAATAACGGAAAGTATTTTCATAAAAATGGAATTCGCGCGTAATATAAATGTAACAGAAGATACGCGCGCAAAAATGTGGGCAGTCGAAAGGGAAGGAGCTCTATTGCAGGGTCGGAAAAGGCTATGCCCGTGAGGGACGATATATCAAATTTGGGGGATGAAACGATCGTATTTTTTGGGCAAACGCATGCGACGTTTGGCAACGCTTCAGCGACATCCGCTGAAGAAACCCCGCGGCGGCGAAATGTCCGGATACGCCGTTCTCGGACGATCGTTCTCGCGATTATCGCGTCAGACATCAGAAAAAGGCCAGTCCGATTCCACGAATGGAACGGATTTGCATACAATGACCGGGAGATAGGGTATCGGGGACTTTGGCGCGCACTCCGGACCGACATACGGGCAGACCTCGTAGTAGAGATGACAAAGCTTCCTTCCAACGAGCAACGACGAAAATCGACGACCCTCTTGGATACTGTCGTTTGGGAGCCGTTCGCGTTCGACAGTCGGGCTAAAGAGAAATTTCTTCGACTCTGTGCAGCAATCCGTCGAACGTTGCGACGTGAAGAGAATAGCGAACGATTTGGTGGATTTAGCGTGTACACAGAAAAAAAAGGACATTCTTGTTTTGAAAATATATTTTTGACATGGAAATCTTGAAATGAGATTACATCGCGTTAATTAAAGAAAAATATAATTGCTTGAATAATTGCTTACTTGAATGAAGCCATTTTATATAGTTCAATCGAGAAAAATATATTCTTATGATTTGAGATTTAATTTTCTCGAATGGAAAAGAAACAATGTTAGATAGAAAATAACATTTTTAAATCAAAGATTATAATTTTCTTAAAGTAGAATCAAATAATTATGTATTCTTGAGGTGACAATTATAATATTAAAATAAGATTATAATATTGTTGAAATTTAAAATTATTAAATTCTTCCAAGAAGATTATATATAATAATAAATTGTTGCGAATATACGAAACAATGAACGCGTTAGTTTAATCATATAAGTTTTGATTTGACACTTACTTTTTTTCTGTGCACGTATTTATTTCCGCTACGAAAAATTGCGATGTGACTACGTTTCGTAAGTGTCCTTGATATTGCAGCGCGTTATGTATAAAATAATTGCAGATATTTTATGAAATAAATTCGAGATCTGTTCGACAGAATCGGCTAAAGAAAGACTTCTTCGACTCTGTGTAGCAATCTATTGGATATTTGAGATGTGATAAAATATTGGCTGATTTAGCATACACGTATTTATTTGCGTCGCGATAAATTGCACTATGATTATGTTTCTTTAATATTTAATTGTTCTTTAATATTTAATTGTATCTTTAATAATGCAACGCGTTGTGCATAAAATAATTGCATATATTTTACGAAATAAATTCGAAATCTGTTCGGCCAAAGAAAAACTTCTTCGACTCTGTGTAGCAATCTATCGAATGTTTGAGACATGGTCGAAAATAGCCAACAATTTGGCTGACAATTTAACTCGCACGTGCTTTTGCGCTGCAAGGATGAATTGCGTTTCGTAAGTGTCCTTAATAGTACAGCGCGTTATGTACAAATTGCATATATGCATTTTATGAAAAAAATAATTAATTTATTATTAATTTAGATATCTTTCATAACTGTTACTTTCAAAAGGACGAATCTTTACGAACGCTCGCTTAATCAGCCTTTATAAAAACATAATTGATACAGATAATTGATATTTTTATTAAATGAAAAGAGATCATGCGCGAAATTTTCAAGTGGCCAAACAATTTGCGCGGACAAAAAAGATTCTCTAGCTTGTATCTTTCCTCTGTAATCTTTTATATATCGACGTGACGAAATACAGTCTCCAAGGGTCGTCGTATTTTATCTCGCACGAGCGATCCTTGCATCGCGGATTCCCGACGTCCGCTCACGCAACAAGTTCCCTATCGCGCGGATGACTTATAGTGTCTCGCGACTCTGCACGTTCATCCTTGGCGCCGAAACGCAAACAGCTGTGAAAATCTCAAGTCTATATTTCAGCGCAAAAGACAAAGGACGCGTCAAGTCGAAATTTGTTACTTTAATTTTATTATTTTATTTTATATAAATCTGTGTAATTAATTTGCGTTTCTTTTTCTTATACGTACCAGCATATTTAAGATCAATCAATTTTTTATTGAGCGTCACATCTTGTCTATTTACACGGCTTGCTTGTCAGAGCAGATCGCGACCGGGGCGGATCTCTGTGCGATTATAAATGAGAAGAGTACAAGGTATGCTCGTTCGGCCGCATCGGAGAAGGTTGTGCTGACGACAGATAAGAAATGTTTTATGTCATGCCCGGTATCGCGTGTCGCAGCGCGCGACCCGCGTTGACACTCTATTAAAAATAACGCTCAGTACGCATCCGTTCGAGACGACAGACACACTCCCATGGCGCCAAAATTGCAATGATAAAATTTCACCTTACGGGAAACATCGACAACGCGAATATACGCCTGGAAACGTCTGTATAATTTTTCATACATTCAATTATTACTCGTATTTATCGTATATTTATTGCTAAAAATCATCATCGAAAATATTTAAAAATTCGCGTAATATGGATCTCTCATCGCGCAAAGTTAAGATTGATTAACTGAAACTGTGTTGATTCCACATTGATGTCGGATACGCATTCGCGGTAGCGTAAACGCAGCCATTGCGGCGGAAACACTGCCAATGTTGGCGCAAGAGAGAGGAAATTGTACCGCGAACTTTCGGCTAATGCGACGTCATTAACTCGGCTTAGGGTCCGCGGCAACGTTAAACGGGCTATTTTGCATATAGTGGTCAACCTACGACGGGGAGGGACCTTCCGCCCACGCCGGGTCCGGCGCGAGATGCCGCGCGACAATCGCGCGCACCAGCCAGCCGGGGATTCGAAGTTTATGGTAAATCGATACGCGTAGGGCGCCGCAGTTTTGTTAACGGCCGCATTAAGCTATCACGCGAGAGTGCCATTACCAAGTCGATCGTAAGTAAGCTCGAAGTAACGATGCTGCGTGGTATAACGCAGCCTCGGCCGACGTGCATATGTGCTCGCGCTCTAGAAAACGCTTCTCTTATCCGGAAATAACGTCGCGATCCAGCGAATTGGACGGCAAACTACGGTCATTAACGCTGTACGAACGTCTTGCAATGCAGAAAGCGCGTCACGCGATACGAGAATCATTACAATGAGACGGTCGGTGATTCTCGTTGCCTTAGAGCGATACGAAAAATTCATTTCCCAGCATTATTACATACAGAGATTACGAAAAGAAAAAATGCACTTGTATATTTTCATAAATCAGTTGAAACTTAATGCATTGGAAATATTATGCATATACAGAGTGTCCCAGTTATCTTCCGTCATCTTTCAAAAACAGATTTCTAGGATCATTTGAAGACGATTTTTTTTCAGCGAAAATGTCAATGAAGGCCATCATTTTTTGCACGTTCCTGATTTTTGTCATCATATATCTTTGCAATTAAGTCTTAAATTAAAACTCAACTAAAGTAAACTCTATTTAAAATTAATCAAAGAATGTGGTTTTGTTAATATTTTATTTCTACAAAGCTTAGTTTACGAAAAACCCCTTATTTCCAATCACTTATAATTCGAAAATTATTAGTGCCTCGATTTTCGTTGAGGAAAAATCGTCTTCAGATGAACTCAGAAATCTGTCTTTGAAAGATGACGGAAGATAACTGGGACACCCTATATGTTAATGCAATGTAATCGTCAGTGATAAATACGATAATTTAAAGCACAAATGAAAAATATAATCAAACTTTTTCCATTTCATAAAATTCTCACAAAGAAAAAAACAATCTCAATTAATAATTAGTAATAATTAATGGATAATTGATTGTTACAACTTATAGAAACTGACTTGTTCCCGAACAGGTTGGACTTCCAAAGAGACGTGAGGATTCTGGCTGCTCTGGAAGATCGCAATATCGCTCGAGTCCTGGGTGCTTGTTATCGCGAGGAACCGTATTGCGTGGTGATGGAATACTTGGAACACGGGGATCTTTGTCAGTTTCTCAAGACACACATCACTGCCGAAGACGCACATTCCATGCCAATTGGCGTCAAGACACTTAGGTAACTTTCTAGTGACATCATGTGACATTAATCGTCTAATAATAGTATACTTTATAACTCGTCGAATTAGGAAAAATCTACAATTTCTCTTCAATTATGAAGCTAATTTTTACAATTATTAATTGGTAATTGAAAAATTAGTTTATTCATTAATTTTTTAATTTTTGAAGCATTTTTTAATTTATTACTGTTGATATAATATTAAAATTACTAATTTTCTTTTCTTATTTTTCTGTTGGAATACGATATGTGTGTATGTGTGTACGTGTATGTGTGTGTATAGCTTTCAATTATTTTTCTGCTGACTTGTTATTTCATTGATATAACAAAAGGGCGGTGTTTATTAAAACATCCGTTGTCATTTTTCGAAAAAATGGCACGCGTGCAGGATGTTTCGTAACTGCCGCCGTAGAAATTGAATGTTCTCAAATAAAAACAATACAATATTTTCAAAAAAATATCAAATTGGAATACCTTTCGCGAAATTGGCGCGAGGTCACCGAGCACATAAAATCGTGTTAGTAAACAATTTGAAAGCAATATCGCTTTGCCGAACAAGAAAATATACTTTGGGGGAGAAAACTGATGCAAAAGATTTTCAAATGATATTAATTTGTTTGCAATTTCACGTCAAAACACTTGAAAAATTCTTAAGTTCGCATTTACACAATTACTAGAGCGATAATAGATATTATAAGTTACATACTAGTTTACGTGCCGGATTTTTTCATAATAGAGATAAAAAGATCAATGAATAACATTAAATTTCGCACATTATAAATAATTTTTTTGTTTTTCTAACATATCACATAATGGTATCAACTTTGTAATTTCGAAAAAATTTTAAAACTGTAGATATGTATTGAAATCTCGTTAGATAATAAGAAAATTGTCTACTGGATACTCTCAGTCTTGATATTGATATTCACGATATTTGTATAAAAAATATAAAGTATTAAAAATTTGAAGTTAAATATAATGATTAACAAATGCAATTCAGAGATAATTTTTTTAAATTTAATTAAAATCGATTCCAAATCAAATAGCATCATAAATAGGCGATTACTTTACGAAAAAGCTAATTGCATCATCTATAATCTTGCTAGTTTAAAAAGAAAATCTCTTCATTAGTCTGAATATTAATCGCCTGGTAATGTTAGTAGTCACATTATGCAGATAATATATTGCCGGCGATGCATTACTTTAACCGGGTTTAAAGTATTCGGGATCACGGCTCTCGAGTGCCGCAATCGTCTTTAACGAACCAGGACTCAGTTTCATTTCCGACGAACCGCCGTCGCTCGAGTTAACACGCAATAAGTTTCTTCGGCGCGAGTTTGACACGTTTATTAATCGTGAGCGACGCACGCTCCCCGGATTCTCGTCGACCTACACCTCGGAGGAATCTCTTCGAGGTGGCGGCGGTCGAGAGAGGATTCGCAAGTGCGAATACCTTAACTTCGTAGGAAACTCATGCCGCTTCGTCGTCGTTTCAGTTTCAACTGTCTCATCTACATGGCGGCGCAGATCGCATCGGGCATGCGGTATCTGGAGAACCTGAATTTCGTTCATCGGGATTTGGCCACTAGGTGAGTACAATGGGACTTTGTCGAAACGAATATCCCTCGCGCGGATTCCCGCTTTCATCTCCCGAGAATAAACTTACACTCCACGAACGCGTCTTTATCACTCTCGACCAGTATTCACTCTGTACCTAAACATTCTGTAATTCCCACTCCAAGTTTGCGTGGAAGTACGCGATTTATACATTAAACAATTCATAGCTTACACAGAAAAAAAGGACATTCTTGTTTTGAAAATATATTTAGTTTCAACATGAAAATCTTGAAATGAAATTATATTGCGTTAATTAAAGGAAAATATAATTGCTTGAATAATTGCTTACTTGAATGAAGCCATTTTATATAGTTCAATCAGGAAAAATATATTCTTGTATTGATTTAAGATTTAATTTTCTTGAATAGAAAAGAAACGATGTTAGATAGAAAATAACATTTTTAAATCAAAGATTATAATCTTCTTAAAGTAGAATTAAATAATTATATATTCTTGTGGTGACAATTACAATATTAAAATAAGACATAATATTGTTGAAATTTAAAATTATTAAATTCTTCTAAGAAGATTATAAATTGTTGCGTATATACGAAACAATGAACGCATTTAGATGAACACGTTTAAATGAATACATACGTTTTATAATTCTAATAATATATATCTTCAAAATCCAAATAACTTTATACATTTTATGCACTTTTTCGTCTCACGTAATAGTATATATTTCGGTCATAATCGTAAATAATTTTAATAATTTTGATGAGAATGAAAGCTGCATCAGAGATTTAGATACAAGAGCGAATGCAAAGTTCGTTTCAATGCATATGTCAAGCAGATGTAAGGCCATAAACAAGGGAATCTTCTCTGTCGACGCGGAGAAAATTATTAAGCTTTCGCGGCAGCAACAATACACGAAGGGAGTTATAATTCACGGAGATGATCCCTGCCGCGGAAATAGGTTGAAAAACGCAATTCCGCGCCGCGCAATTTATTGAAAAGTAATTTCAAAAGTCGGTCGCGAAACCATTCGCGAAAGAGACACGATGCGGCGTAAATGTTGCGGCACGTTTTTTACGTTATTGCGGAAAGGATAAATGGATTCGTTCTTGATTTATTTGTCGGGATAAACTCACTCACCCGTTGGATGTATTTTTTTCCCGTCTCGCTTTTCGCTTCATCGATTAACAAGATCGCCGTTCGTTCTATCGGGCTTTAATTCATCGAAGAGCATCTTTCGACGGATGTGCCTTTCGAATCCGATTCGAGACTATGCCGTCCGCTTTAATTGGCACAGTCTAATAACTGGCAGAGATGTTCTCGCGAATGTGTGTGATCGTACTCGGGGGACGTGTATGTACGAGGAGGGAGGATTTTACTACGGGCGACGCATCCGTTAAAACGGGACGACGGGACACCGATATCGATTCTCCCACTCTCAGGACGAAATTGAATTATACCACACCCTCCCCTTCCCCGTGCGGTGCATTTCCATAAGCCCCAAAACAAACCGAGCCGAGAACCGCATGGGAAATCAACGATTTGTTAGTGAATCGTCGCGAGGAATGCAACGAGAAGAGCAAGCGGCTAGTTATTTCCGTGAGTGAATGTTGGATGTGTGTATCGACGACGGAAAATGTCAGCGTTTCACTCGTTTTTTTTTTTTTTTTGAGCCAGTCGCGCATTCAATCGTCGTAACTATCGGGATCAGCTTTTGGCATTGTGTCCCTCGCAAACCACTCGCGCAAAGTGATTCCGTCGGGTTTTCCCTGGGAGGAACACGCGACTTTGAACGCACAATAGGCACCTTCCTCCACAATCCAACATAATGGTCTAATACTTGTTATATTCACGGTCGATTTTCCTTTCTGGCACTAGAAACTTTTACCTTTCGTACGCATTATTTCGATATTACATATAATTCAAGATTACTCGAAAAAGACTGCCTTTTCGCTTTTCCAAGTGGACACATTTTTACTATCTCTCGATCAAGATACGTTTTTCGCTAAAAGCGTGGCCGTTAAAAAATTAAGAACCTTGTGTCGATAATGAAATGTTAATATTCGCGAAAGTTGCCGAGAAAAATAATTAATTAATCTTCGAATTTTCCATCGATTAATACGCAAACATTTATAAAATGTATAAAAATATTGCGTCAAAGGATACAAAAATATGCATTGGCCAATCAAAATATTACAGTACGCAAAATCTATATTTTTAAAAAATTGCATCGTTGATTCGTTATATAATAATTTCATGACAATCGTGTATATTTTCTTTTAAATTTCGTATACTTTTTCTCAAATAAATTCCATTTAAGCTGCAAATTTTTAATATCGTTCATATCGCGAAATCTTTGTAATGATCCTCAAACCATATAACGTGTACAGAGCAATACCGCGATGACCGCTAGTCGACGAAGTACAACCTGTATATAGAACGAAGTCCATCTCTGGTTGTTATTGAAATGCAATGGCCATCTCGCCGAATCGATAGGACGTTTATATGCACATATGTGCATATATGTATACCTTTCGCGCACCCACGTAAACCACCGAGTTCTCATAGCACGCGGGACCTAGTTTCCGGCTGGACAGTGTCTCTCAAACTCGCGCTTGTAAATATTAATAGTAAAGCGAAAAACATTTTCTTGCGCGAAGCTTCGATAATGGATATCAACTGTCAGCATTTTTGAGGACAGGTTTGATTCGTCGATTGGAGAAATAGCTCCAGAAATATCGACAAAACTAGTTCGGTGTCATTTCTGTCTTTCTCTTTCTCTCTCCCTCTCACGTGCTCCATCATCACGTACAATTATATCAATAAAGCATTAATTTAGAAGATAAAATATTCAATATAAATAAAAAATAAAATTTGACGTTGTCATTCTTTTAAATTTATAGTTTTTCACGATAATTGACAAGTAACGCGCTCACTGTAGCGTTCGAAACGAGATATCCAATTTGTGTTACATTTTCACGACGGAATGCTAATGGCGTTGCAATAAATTCCAAAATATTTTCAACGGCATTCGCAAGAGAACGGAAATGTCCATGCTTGTGCGATTGCGGCGGCTATAATCCCTTAGTTAATTTTTTAACAAGCTACACATGAGGCTTTATAAAATTTTAGTGGCGCTCGCATCGAAACCGCGGCGCGTTATCTCTATCCGTGCTTTTGTGAGAAAAAATGCGCGATACGATCCGATCGCATTGCAAATAGATCGATACCTTTTGGTACAGGTTCCGGGATTTAATCAAAATTTAATCAGAATTTAATGGCACCGCTGAACTTCCACTTTGATGGCGCATGTCAGCGTGACGAACCGACGATATTCAGTGAAATACGCGACCGTATGGGAATTCCACTATGGGGCATAAATTCTTCGTGACTGGCGGCGTCAAAAGAGAAATGGACATTGCGGATATCAATGGCGCATACGCGATACTTTCGAAATGCATTTCTGCCCTTTCTATCGGGCGATCTCTGCGCGCGATTTATCTGTCGCGATAAATGTAAAAGAGAGCGAGCCGAAACATTTTTATTCATTTAAATCGAATCCGATGGAGAATTTTAAACTGCGGAGTTTAAACAGAATCGGAGAAAACGGGAATGTTCCTCGCTCGAGACAAACTGCCAATCCATCGCGACTTCTTATTTCATTCGCCAATCCGCGGCGTATAGCTATAGAGTCATTGTCGGAACCGTGCCAAGTGTAAAAGAAGGAAAGGATCGATTGCTGATCAAACGGTAATGCAATTCAATTGGCTCGGATGGAAAAGGAATACGAACGAATGAGAAAATTGATAGCTGTATGTAATGCTTTAAAAGATGGAAAGGATAGCGGATTCGTTCTCGTACGAGAGCGTTTGTCCAATCGAGAGAAATATAAAGATAGGATATTACACGTGAACGAGAGTAAAATCTTATGATTTGCTGTAAAACGGTTCCGCCAATAAACGCTGATAATGTTATTTTTTTTTAATGGCGGAGATTGATTATAGCGGGGCAAATATTGCGAATAAACGTGCATCTGAATAAAAGAGCAAAAACGAAAAAAAAAAAAACTCGCATCCTGTATGTGGATATTTCGTATTCCGGTAAAAGAGATTTCCTTCATCCTATTTTGAATCGCAAATGTATGCCGGGCGAGTTTTCTTTAAAGTGTAGATAATACTTAATATCGGGGACCTTCTATCTCGCTTCTACTATTGATTCTTACATTTAGAATATTATGCGGTTTTGTTTTCGCATTTACAATTCTAATTTTAATAATATTTACTTGGCAAAGATCTCTCTAACGTTGTAGGATTTTTCTATAATCATTAATGTAAAAATGTACAATTTTTACACAAACTTTGTTTAACATTTTGCTAAAAATCCATTTTATTTTTATAGAATGCCTTTTTTGCAACAAGTATAATCAAATATTGATTTAAACATTCGCAGGCTTTCGATATTGGTACGTTTATTCGTAACAGTTATCCTGTTTCATTGATCTTAATATTAAATTTAGACTGCAATTTTGAGGGGATTCTTCTTCTATCCACTTTCGAAGATACTGAAAACCGAGAGTTTTATTCTCCGCCGACGAGAGCTTACGCTCTGGAATAATCGGTTAAAAATTCAAAGAACGGCTTTTCCCGTACGCGTTTTCTCACCGTGCTCTCGCCATTTTTCCCACTTTGATCGAAACCATTTGTTTCTTTTGCAACGAGCATGTCCAATATTCAACTTTCAATCTAACTTGGCCGACGACTGTTCAACTTGAATGTCGATACTTCGCCTCGACTTCATTATACAGCCGTGTCAATCGGCCAAGTACACTTAATGTTCTTGTTCTTATCGACAATAGCGCCGGTCCTTGTGTCAAATGGTCAAACGATTCCAAATTTAACTTCAACTTGTGCAACTTACACAATGACAGAGGCGAATCTCTCCTCATCCACCAAAGAAATCATCGCGGATGTAGATTCCCACTCTCTGACAAGAAAACCTGCTTTTGTTTTGATTTCGATAAAAGGTGAAAAGGCCTTTCGCGTTATATTCTTATAGCCTAATTTTAACCCGATATTTCACGATTCTTCTTTACTTTTTTTTTGTAACGATTACACCTAGTATATTATTATCAATATATTCTCGTTTCTCACACAATAATAATTCTAAATTTAAATTCTCTTCTACTAACATAAAATAAAAGATAAATAAAATATGTAAATTGTGAAATTAAAAAATATTAAAATAAGAAATTAAAATATTCTAACAGTGGTAATTATTTTTATAATAATCTCTGTTAACGATTAATATTGGAGTAGTAGAAATTAAAAGATAAGATTTTAGTATAGAATATTTCTTCTCTGAATGTATTAATATTTATTAAGATAATATCTGTAGAAATACACACATCGACAATTTAAAGTAATTTAAATTTAATACATATATAAAATAGATATATAAACATATAAATATAAAATATAAATATGGAACAAATATAAAATAAATATCTGATATAAAATAAATATATAATAATATATTATTTAATATATTATTAATTACTATTAAATAATAAATTACTAATAAATTGATAATGCTCAGATATATCATGAAATGAATACATAAATTTTTGTTCGGTAATTTACGTTATATGTTTTATGAATTATTATGTTTGTTTATATGCTTTTAGAATTATTATTTCTGAAATGTATGTGAGCGATCAAAGTTCTAACTACTAGATTATAGAGCGGAGATCATCACGTCTGATTTATCCTACAACAGCTTCAATGCGAGGCGTGAACGCGGCTTATTGCATTACTGTCGTACTCTGCAACATAGGGAGGACCGGGGTCAACCCCATCGACGCAGTAGCCCGATGGCGAAGTAGCCAATAGCAATGATCGATAAAGCGCCCCTAATTAACCAGGTTCTGCCGCCAAATTGGAGCTTTGTTCTATCGGCAAAATTAATTGATTCTATCTATTCTATACCCTTGTTCCATGGATAACGTTTGACTGGCCGTTTCTCAGATAGCGAAGATTAGTTCGTCTTTAAAGCGAGCCGGTCAATGTCTGGAGCTTTGAGCCGAGTTGCATGAATGCTTTCCGTCTCTAAGTTCTCCTCAGGGGATCCTCGAATGTATCTCTCGTGAAACCCGTTCAAAGGACGGGTGGATGAAATATCAAACGCGATAAGATTAAGTAACTATATCCGTGTATTATAATATTAACAACAAGATTAAAATATACTGCTATCTCAGCGCGGCTGTTGTCGTTGTGAATAAATACTCTTATCGTTGTACATCTTTCTTTTTATAGCAAATAATTTACGATAATCATTAAGCGACAATCCGATTAAATACTTTTCGATTATCCGCTGGGCAAAATTTATTTACGCATCGTATACAATTGCTCATTCGCGTGTGCTTAAACAGGAAATTCGACCACATTTGCGAGCAAATGCCATTGAGCTCTATAACATACTGAGCTTTCAAGGGTGGGGGAATGACCCAATTCGTAGAAAAGGATACATACATGCTACATGATCGCTATCTTTGTCAGAAATTCGCTAATTAATTGATATTATAATATCATAGTCAGACACATTGACTTTGTACGTGCTTTATGAATTGAAAGAAATATAAATAATTCACAACTGTTTCCAATCTTATTGTTTAAATTAGCAATATTTTTGTAATAGTTAAATATAATCTCGAATATCAAAATATTTTTTAAAAGATATGCACTTCTGTATTGTTAAATATTTGAATAAGAAGTGTTTTTAGTTCAAATAGTAAATATAAAAAAAGAAGGATTCACTAAAAAATATATCTCTTTAATTTCCGATCCCGATATTTTATAGAAAAGTTCACTATGGTAGAGCTCACGTACTGTAGAGCTCACTAGCTGCATGTAGACAATTATTCTCGCTTCCGGTTGACTACGATGTACAGAATGCGTACGTGTATGCAGATTGCATACACGGGCATACTATGCGCTCCACGTATGTACCGACGAGAGATCAATCTGGCTGCACCTCTTTCGTTTCACAAACGTGAGTCAAAAAGTATTTAATCTAATCGATAACACACAGACGCACGCAAACTCGCGTAACATTATGCTATCCAGGAATATCCCAAAATTATTTTAAAGCGAGCATTATATCCTCCGCGCCGAGTACTCTGCATAAATTAACGCGCGGAGATGATCAAATAATATAAAAATAGAAACGTGGAAAAAATGCGAAATTCTTGTCACGATAAAATAGAAGTAAAATCCTCTCTTAATCCTCTACAAGTCATAATTTTGCTTGCAGAAATTGTTTAGTCGGTAAGGCTTATCATATCAAAATCTCGGACTTTGGCACGGACAACGAACTGTATGCTTGCGATTACTACAAAGTCGATGGAACTATGCCCTTGCCGGTGCGATGGATGGCCTGGGAATCAATATTTCTGGTAAGTGTATCAACTAATATATATAAATAACAATTTATTCAATCATGAGACAACTGTAAATTGCATCTAATTTTCAGGGAAAGTACACGACCAAGAGCGATGTGTGGGCTTTCGCAGTTACTCTCTGGGAGATTTTGAACCTCGGGAGACGCGTCCCTTACGAGCATCTCTCCGACGAAGAAGTGGTACAGAGCCTGCGACAACTGCATCACGCCGCCGATTGCAACAACGTTAATCCCGAAGATGGCTGCAAGGAGGATTCTAGAAATGTCTTTGATTATCTACCGCGACCCACTGCCTCCTCCAAGGACATCTACGATCTGATGCTCGAATGCTGGCGGCGAGAGGAGAACGAGAGACCGACTTTCCGTGAAATATCGCTCTTTCTGCAGCGGAAAAATCTTGGATACGCTCCAACATCCTGATATTGAGCCCCGAACAAGCGCGACGTTTTTAATAATCATCCCGCGAATCAGAACAAGTTCGGTTCTGAAACGGGTCGACGAACGTGCAGGCAATGTCCTCATTTGAAGAATTGCAAGGAGCGAACGACGAGTGAATGAGAACGATTGGCGAAAAAAAAAAGGAGAAAGGTGAGAGCGTGAAAGACGACAAATATATATCACGACATCGAAGAGATAAGTACAACGATGGAATTTTATTGCCTGTCAACGAAACGGGACTGGGATTTGGAGTTTTATGACAGAGAAATTGATCGTCCTTCGATTTTATTTCGATTTACACATTTTTTCGCGGAATAATAACGTGTGTAATGATAAACGAAAAACATACAGTTAGAATAGATAGAAGAGGAGTAAACGCGAGAGACGAAGATTCTACATCGGAATTCATCATAGACGAATAATTCGAACTATCGCGTGCCGCCGTAAATAGAATTGATGCTCCGTGAAATTCTTACTAACGAAAGTGCATATCTTATCGATTTATAGAGCACGAAGATCGCGAGAATGACATCGAATCTCGACGCAAATTACTCGCGACAGCAAACTGTGCAACGATCAATGTAGCAAAATAAGCGTAGAATTCTTTCTCGAATGTAAAGAAAGACGTAGAGACGGATACGAATCTGTGAATACGACAATCGGACGAGAGCAGAATAAAAACTTGCCCGTCGTAGATAGCCGCTCTGTGGAGAATCTCCGATGCCATCGAGAGAGACGGATGTTTGCGAGGTCGAAGAAGATCGTCTCGCAATTGTCGAGAACTTAGGAGCAATACCATGTAACTGTAATACAGCTGTGAACATTCCTGCACGGGTGGGTACCTATACTAGGCGCGACAATTACGCGAATAGGAGGGGGATCGTTACTTAAGAAGAATAATACTAGGATTCCTTCGGGATTATATCATTTCGATTAAGGATTTAATGCAAAAAATGTGAATCACATCGACGTAAGGCAATATAGCAGCTATTACGATATTAGACGCTAGAACAACTGTTCAAGTTAATCGTAAAGCATTATAACTGAGTGTGTTTTATGAACGTATGGGTGCCTATTTTCTCATTTTCTATCTCCCTCTCTCTCTCTCTCTCTCTGTCTTTCTCTATCTGCCTCCCTCCCTCTCTCTCTCTCTGTCTCTCTCTGTTTATCCTCCTCTTTTACTCTCTCCTTGAAAATATATATTATATCGCCCAGATATTTTGAATCTATTTGTGAGATGAATCTACATGTGATTTACATCGCGAAATTCTTTATCGTCACAAAACATATCGCGAAACGACGAGTGATTATCGTGTAGTATTAATAACGTTATCTCTCTCTCCTTCTCTCTCTTCGATCGTGAAGAAATTAATCGTCTTTCTAATATTATTTTTGGTTTGTAAACACATCATCCGTGTGAAATATAGCATATGAGAATATTTAAATAACTTTAAAGACAGCCAGAGACGACTGTAAAGATTTCTCTACATGTTTATTCGAACGATATCACTAATTGCATTTGCAGTTAACAATTTGTATGTGAGTGGGATTCGTTAATATTATAACACTAGACGAATTATCGTAAGTTGTAAACGCAAGTAGACGAAGAGTAAAGTTTTACCTAATTCTGCATTAAAAAATGATTATAGACTATGTATCATGTGACTATGACACATCATAATTGTAACTTTATATGATAGGCGGGATCAATGAAATTAGGATATTGTACAGATAGGCGTACCGTAGTAAGGAACGTTATCATTGCATTTTTTGGAAACGATGGGTGAAATTAGAAAAATCACAGAAAAATCTGACTGTCCTTCTCTGAGAGCGTTATACACTCGCTTACAATTTGATATTATTATTATCAAAAACATAAACATAAAAAGAAATTGTTTAGCTTCCGACAAAATGTTCGTAGTGAGATAATAAATTGACGAGTTCGAGCTATCGGAATGTTTTTTTTTTTAATAAAATAAACAAAAACACGAAGAAAATAGAAAGTAGCCATAATTAGCGATTTGAATTTTCAAGTTAACAGCGAACTCGCCATACCATTATCTCCATCGTACATCATAAACTCGATTTCGATAATTTGTCTTAATCGACTTTTGAGTTTCGCGTATTTACATACCGGATGAATACTATAATAACTTATGCGACATTTAGCGAATAGGCGCGATGTTACCGTTATATCATTAAAAAATACTATTTATATAAATTAAAATGTACTACTGCATAAGGAGTAGATGATACGGAGGCATAGCCATATGTAGTTAAAATACACGAGTTGAATTTAAACGTAACTGGAATTGCTTCTATATCACCGAGATCGAGATATCTTAAGACGAGTAAAAGAAAATCAATGCGAAATCACGTATGGATTACGAGGTAATAGAAATAGGCAATTGTCAGAGGTAAATAGTAATAGCCGATCGATTATGCATTAAGTGTAACATTCTAAGTGCGTAATTTAAATTTTGTATAAAAGTGCCGGATCAACAGACGTATAATTTCGTGCCATCGCGAAACTTTGGCCAATCGATTTTTCGCACCGCGCGATTGTGACTGAGTTGAAACAATAATACCTATTGTCGATACAGTTTTAGTCCGAAGCAAACTGCCATTACTTTTAGAATGATAATAGAGAATGAATTGTAGTTGCGTTTAGATTCGCCAATATAAGCATAACGCTGCCTTTGGCTATATTGTTGCCCCTTACTGCTAACGAGTAACTTACTTGTCTACTCATGTGATAATTTAGTATATTCCTACGTACCTATCTCTCTGTACCTACCAATTCGAAAATCTTGCTAGCGAAAGGATTATTCGAATATATCTTATTTTTATTATAAATCATAATTCAGATAAAAGATCAGATAATATTTATTTAATTTTCTTTAAAAAAAGATTGAAATGCAAAATAATTATGAAAAGTGATAAAGAACATAAAAATTATACATCTAGCAGTTTCATATTTATACTATAAATTTAACTATAATTGTTCCATTATTTATTGCAAGATGTTAGAGAGAGAAGCGAATAATGTGAAATAAAATGCAAACAAAGCGTATCTAATCCTTTCTCTATGTAAAGATTCGCTATTATAATATAGATAACTTATTTCTACCTAGCGTGCCCTTTTTCCAATGATAATTAATTATATTCTTTGTGAACAAATCGAGCTCTGTCAATGGCATCACCGAGGTAATCGTACAATATCAGAAACAAGTAATAATCGGATCGAGCATTGTAAAGTACGAACACGCTAGATCGATAGAATTTTATTTCTCTTAAAGGCCTTACGTCTTAATAAGCTCAATTTTAATTGCAGATATTCCTATATCCTTATCACGACACACTGCTAATTCCTTCGATATATATTTTTAAACGCGTATGATTGACAATCACGCTTGCCTCGGAATTTTAGAAAATATTTTTAGCACTAATCGTGACTTTCTTGAAACACGACTATAATCGATAGAATTGGCATTTCATAATTATTTTCATAATAAGCATAATCTCTTCATAAAACAATCTTGATTTTCATCAATCGAATATCATTTTAATATAATTATATAATTCTATTATAGCGCACAAAAAAAAAGACGAGAAAGATATTATGCTTTTTATATATAACGCAGTTTAATAATATGTCAATTCATGAAAGAAAGATAGTTTGCACGATCTGATAATCATACTTTCAGGCTAAAAATAAATTGTAATTCCATTATAATAAATGACACATTAATGTCGTACATTAATATCACGATTAGTATCACGCATATTCGTATATTGTATACGATCGTCATGTTTAATTTGAAAATGATTTCACAACAATGACTACATCGTACAAAATAATATCACTGCGGCTAAAGATTGCAACGAAATTAATATGCAATCGTTGTATGAATATTTCGTTCACGCGAATATAATGAAATATGATTTCGATATACCTGATTGTTAAAACGTCTATGCTGGAATATCGAGGAGTCTACAGGTAATTGTGGGAAAACTGGGAAGAGCTCATCTAGTTATATCTTCTATCTAGGTATGGGCAACGCACGGTCATATCACTCAACTCGGCTATGTTTTGCGTTACATTTTTTTTTATATGAACATTTCCTTCTTAAAAATTATTCGATAAACGAAAGCATCGAAATTGAATTAAAATCAGTAAAATTATTCGATTTTAAGAGAAAAGAATTACAACGAAACTAATCACGATGAGTTGCCCATGCTTATTCTACGCTATCGAACCTTGATCGTTATAGTCATAAAATTATTTTGTACTAAGAACTGTTTATAATTTTGTATCTAATCTCTGTAAATATCAAGCAGATTGTCTATGAGTAATAAAGCTTGAACAAACTCGATTTAAGTAGACTATATATAAACGGGGAAAATATATATATATAAATGCAAGTATTTATAATATATCTATATATTTTAATTAGTCGTATAAGGCAGCAATCGCGGAAAGATGTAAGTAAATTTTGCGTGTAAGCGGTAATCGGTAACGTAACAATGTACAACGATCTAGGAATTATTTGTATAATATAAAGACGACAATTAAGGGACAAATCATAAAAGTATACATGTTACTCAGTAGTCGTGTGTGTATATGTGTTTGTATACATATATATACATACATATATACATATGTATGTATGTATGCATACATACACTATACATTTAGAAATTAACTAGTCATGTACGGCACTTTATAACGATTAAAGTGTATCCCTGACACGAAATGCAACGTGTGCTGTTCTTTGATTATTCTCGCTTTAATATAAATAAAAAAAAAAGATACAACAGTCTATTAATGCAATCAGATAAGATATAAATTTCTAAAACAAATTATCAATTTCACATTAGCTTTGCTACAAATTTATTAAATTTGATCAATCGCACATATAGTGTGAACAAAACTATTGTGGCATAGACAGATTCAAACAGCATTTTTTATATGTTACATCTATATGTGTCTCATTTAAAAAAAAAAAAAAAAAACAACATGCCATGTGTAAGTTCCATTATCCATCAAACACAATGATAAAATCTATTTGTGTTGGATAGTGAAATGAAAAGTTATATTACTTATTTTGTGAAAATATCCTATCGCCTCATAACACTCCTTACACTGCATATAGTTCTATTTCAAGTATAATAATCAATAGTTCTATTTCAAGTATAATAATCAATTGTACATTAAAATATACGCATGCAAAGATAAAGTTTTTCTTTTAAAAAGGAGGTAAAAATCAGGAAAAGATTCTTCCCATTTGTTTCCCATGTATTTTTCTTATTATTTATACACGATATATCGATTCTCTACATTGATTCACATGATATATCTCGCTGATTCACATTATATAGTTTTTTCAGTAGTAATAATATTTGTTAAAAGAGGGCACGACGATAGACTTCTCGTACGCGACTATAGTAAGTCTTTCATAATATCCAGTCATGTTTACATTCATGAATGAATGTCTCGTGCCAATACAATATTATGACATATATTTATTAATTATGTTGAAAAAATCTAGTCACTTACTATGATAAACCAGAAAAATAATAATCTTATGAATATTATACATAAATCATAAAATATGAAAAAGATATATAAGATGAATATATAAGATAAATCATGTGATGTGAAAACTGAATGAAAATTTATGTACATACATGATATATACATAAAAAATTTGATATAAAAAACGAAACGAAATAATTATTAAATCTCTCCAAAAAGAAAAAAAAGAAAAAGTTGAGTATTGTTTTGTTATATATACATATTTCTTCCTTCTAAATGAATAATTATTATAATTTTTAGATTTGTATTTAAGACTTTCACGTACTTTTTTAGTTTTACAGATATATCTTCCATGTATGACACAATTTTAAAAATTATATGACATGATTGATATAGATATAGATATGTTTTACATTATACCACCAAATGGAGAGATACCTTTTCATATTTTGGAAAACTGTATTCTAACTAGATTAGATTATTTACGACATTTATATGAAGGCTCTACCAATGAATTTGATGGAAACTTTGAATATTTATTAGAAAATTCAACTTTTGACAAAATTGGACATTTTGTATTACGGTAAGTATATACCAATTAATATAACTTCTAATAGAAAGAAATTTCAAATCAATGTTAAAAGACTTTAAAAACTGTGAATAACATACGTAATCAAGGAAAAGAGTATACATATTTAAAATAAATTGTTTATAGAGACTTTATACTAAAATAATTGATTATAAATGATAAAGAATTATAAAGTCCATATTTATAATAATTTATATTTTTTTTGTTTTAGATTATTATCATGTGCATCATCAGATTTACATTTATATTGGATAACCAAAGAATCGTTATTATTTAGACATAGATTAGATAATATATTACCTAGACAACTACACAGATTATTGAAGCAAATTATATGGAAGATGCAAATATTTAAAAATGAGAAGAATGCAACTGAAATAACTCTGATTGAGTTATGCAAATTCTACTCACAACCCTTAATTTTTAAACATCTGATATCAAATTGTCACGATTGCACTAATTTTCAATATGAAGGTGAGCATTATAATGTGTAAACTATTTCTAAGAAATGGTTTATGTGATAATATTATTTTATTTTTCAGTGAGATTTGAATTGGTTCCAAACTTGGTGAAAGAAAGGGAATTAATTATTAAGAATGGAAATGTTATTACATATTGTTCAAATTGGAAAATAGTACTTCAATCATTATTTAGTAATTATGTAACTAATGAACTGAATGTCATGAGGAAACAAGCACTACAAACTATAAAACATGATCTTAGGTTTCAAATTTTAAATCAAAAAGTTCAATCATATCTTTTCAAGAAAAATGCTACTCATGGAAACATAACTATTGATAACATAGATGCAGAAGCAAAAAAATTTCCTTTATGTATGCAACATTTACATTCTGTACTAAGAAGTAGACATCGTCTTAGTCATTACGCTCGCTTATACTATAGCCTTTTTCTCAAAGAAGTTGGAATGGAACTAGAAGATTCAATTATATTTTGGAGGCAAGAATATTCCAAGCCACATACTTGTTCTTCAGTATGTTTACACAATTGGCAATCAAATGAAAAAAAATTCATATATAGTATTAGGCACATGTATGGCCTAGAAGGTTCTCGAAGAAACTATAAGACGCCTGATTGTAATTTAATTTGTGTAAGTATAAAAATTTCATAAAATCTTGTCTAATATCAAAGCTTTATATATGTTATTATGTGCTAAAACAGAAATAGTTTGTTTTTAATAGAAAAAAGAATTATTCTTGCAAAAAGATTATCTTTTTTTAAAGATTAAAATGCTATATTGCAGGCTGGTATCAGTGGAGCAACATATGAAGGTGGTTGTCCCTTTAAAGATTTTAATGTAGATAAGCTCAAAAATCTTTTACATGCTTCATTAACTGAAGATGAAGCAGACAGACTTATAAGTAACATATCTAGTAAAAATCCAGAAGTTCTTTGCAGCGCTTTTATGAAACTTTTACGTAAAGACAATATTAACAATATTATCATCAATAGTCCAGTACAATATTACTACAGAATGACTGATTAAATATTTGTTATAGATAAATCTATACAAAAATTTGTACTATCTATTGTTGTTAATATTTTTCACTAATATTTGCAATTATCAAAAGATTTATCAAAAAATTTTTTGTAAATATTATAAAAAGAACAATTAATTTAATACATTACTAATTTTAAATTAACAAATTATACAACTAATATTAATAAATTATAGAATTTAAGGAATCATTGTTTGTTAAATGACTGTAGAGCATCTTTTATAACATGATGAGTTACACCATCTCTAACTAATATGGCATGTACTCCAAGTTTACCAACCTCTATAATATTTCTGGTCTCGTCATCAAAAAAAAGCATATCTTTGTAATCAATTTGAGAACTTTTTTGAATGCTGAAAGTTATATTCAGTTAAATAATGCAGTTTTATAATGTACAACAAATTGTTCAGAAGTTTTACATAGAACTTACTTCAAAAAATGTGCGACTTTGCTACCAGGAAATATTTCAACATATTTGAAATATTTTTTCCAACCAAATAAATCTAATAATTGTTTAGCACCCTTTATTTCTGATGTACGTGATGCTACGCCAAGTTGATATCCTTCCTCTGATAACAGTTTCAATATATCAGGAACATCAATATAACATTTTACTGTACGACCGTGTGCATCTACTATTTTATTCTGCGTTCTAAAATTTTATTTTTTTTTAATCCTATAAATTATTGAAATAATACACTATATTTATATCTTTCATATTTACATAAAAAAAAAATATACAAACCCTCTCTTAAATGGAGGAGTTACATGAGTATCAACCCAAAATGGCCACAAAGTATAATCTAAAATTTAATAATATTTTTTTCTACTTATCTATATAGAAATCATTTTAAATAATTTTAGCATGTATAATCAAAGTATTTAGTTCACAATTTTGTCTATACCTAAATCAAAGACGATAACTTTTGGTTTCTTCTCCATTTTTTCACTAATTAAATTTTATGTGTAGAATCAAATAAACACAAAATGACTATTGCTAATATTATATAACTATTTCCTCCTTAAAGAACGAATAAAAATATAAATTATAAGATAACCTCCTATTATCTTTGTATGTAGTTACTTTTTTACTGCAATAATATCTGTCGAGAGGGGGTTAAGTTCACATTTGTACGACAAAATATTTGTCGAACGAATTGATTGGTCATCAGAAAATTCGTAGAATCTTGATGGAGACTCTAGAAATCCCTTATTCGATAGCCAATTACCACGTAGGATAAATTCGTCATACGACAAGTGAAATGCCATCTTTAGTGAACATGGCACATTTTTCAAACTATATAACTCTCGTAAAACAAGCAATCTTTAATATATTTTCGATGTTGCTTTCTTTAAATCAATACCATTATCTTATGAAAACTGAGTAATTTTTAGTATAAATGTTATAAATGATGTTTCTGAAAGTCTCGAAATATCTCTATTCTGATATTAATTTGAGAGACAATTTGAAATTGTTTTTTAGCGAAAATATTTTCTATTTGATATTTTATATTATTATTAATGATTTTAAAAAATTATATGCGTAAGTAAAAGCGCTGCAAAGTTTACAAAATGGCAAATTTCTGTTTCTTTCTAGAAATCCATTGTTACATTTAAAAATTAAGACAAGTTCAATCGACGCTAAATAATTGCAGAATGATAGCATATTATATTATTTCACATACCTGATAAATGCGCATCGATTGTATTCTCAATTCGCCGAGAAAATAACGCGAAATACGCGAGAAAACTATTTCTAACTTCTCGGAACTTTGAACGGACGAACAGATCGAACCATTAACACTGAGAGATTCCGATATTAAAATATCGAATCGCGATCGTACGCGATGTTTGCAAAATACTTCGCGACACTTTACGAAAAGTGTCTCGCGATCATTTTCCGCGCGCGAAATTCACTTTTAGCGATTATTTGCGAGAAATACCGAACGACGAGAATCCATCGTACCGCCGATACCGTGATGGATTCCGCTACTGACTCTACTTCGAGAATCGCAATTTCGTGATCGATATATTATCGATATATTATCGATCTATGGATCTTATCGCAGGATGCGATCCCCTTGCATCTGTATGCAAGTCAAATCGTTCCATCGACCAATCAGAACGAAGAGGCAAAGATTCCCTTGTTCTTATTGGTCATCATGCGAGTGGAGACATTTCTGGTAACATTATGTATGTAAAAAATTGTTACGCAAAATATAAATTGAATATAATCGTGAAAATGACACGCGAAATATCTTTAGATTAAAGATATATATTTGCAATGCAAATCCATTTTAAAATTGATTAATCGAGTATAATAAATTCGCAATGAAGAAATGTGTTGGGATAGGGAATTTCTAGCGCGACAGACATTTTAAAGTCAAACTAGGCTGCATTTCGATATAACTGCCAATGAAAATCTATAGTATATGTGACGTGAACTATAGATTTTCAGTACTGGCAATGAATATCGGAACACAGCCCTAATCTTCCCATTTGCTTTCTCTAGCTACTATAGTATAGTCGCATCATTCTTGATTATTCTCGTTTACCGACTTTCAGGTGAGAAATAAATATTCAGGTCGCCTTAAAGCGATATTTGGATAATTTATATCACAAACGTTTATTGAATATTAAATACGTACGTTATTTATCATTCTTTATGAATGTAGTAAATAATACATATCAATTGTTTATCGATAGAACGATAATTTCTTGACAATTTCTGAAGAATGGGGCTAGAACATCAAGCTTATTCGATGCACGCGTAATTCTTGTTAAATTTTCTTATTAAATTAAAACAAAACTTTCGGCTGACTTTAATTTATTTTGATCACTTTTACTTATTAGACTAAAAACAGCTGTAATTTTCATTTATCTAGTTCTCACAATCAGATTAAGAACTATTCCATTGTCGCAACTTTTAAAGAAAATAATGAATATCAATGCTTCCTTATTTTGCAAATCTATGTGTTTTTATTTGACTTAATTTATATATTCTTGTATGTAGAGAAAAATACGTCAATTTTCTGAAAGACAAAAATAACGAGCATATTTTGAATCTTAAAGCATCACAACATCTATCTATGGAACATTAATGTATATTCTTTATTGATAAAAATTTTTATTAATGTGAAGCATAAGATAAAGTAATAAGGGATTAGATTGTTTTGATACACAGTTCAATTGAATCGCACAATATAAAATTAGAAATATCTGTGATAAAAGAAGGAAATTGTGCTTGATATCTTAGAAAAAATTTTTGAGAGAGAAAATTATAAATTATCTTAAATGTGTAATAAATACATAATAACAAATGTCTGCTTAATGAAAAATTGTTTTTATAAAATGAATTATTAAAGTATCATTTAAACTCTACAAATATGTGTTTGAAATATCTGTGCGAGTCGAATTTATATTTATTTTACTATTATAAATAGTCTGAATAGTATCTCCCAATTGAAAATCTCTTTTGTTGAATATTTTTCTCTTTTTTCTGCTTTTGATATTTTATTGGCATAGTTATTATCTCTGTTTGTAATCTATGCTATTTGGAAATATATAATTTAATTTAATATTCAACTTATGATTATTAAAAAAAATCTTGTCATATTTATTTGGGAGTAAAAAATTAAAAAAAAATCTATTCCTTTTAAAATTATTTATCCTTATTAACATTCAATTTTCTCACTTTTAAATAATAAATAATTTTCAAATTTATTGCCATAATTAATAAGATTTTATAAGATTAAAAATAGATTATATATATAGATTTGATTTAATGATAGATTAATAAATATATAATATGAATAAATGCTCTTAACTTTCTTATTTATTATTTAAGAATATTTTAACGGTTTTGACTTGTTTTTACATTATACATCATAATTATATAATGTATATATAAACTGGACAATATTAGAGAATGTTATTGATAAAAATGTGCTTGATCTAATTAAATATTATAATACTCTATTCTTACAAATCTCTAGATATTGATTTAAAGAATAAGTTATTAATAAAAATATTATTAATTTTCATTTATTGTCATATTTCAGAAATGTCCGAATCAGATCTTTTGGCTAGTGACCATATTGATGGTCTTGATGGTCTTGAAAATGGTCAAGATGGAGATGCTATCATGCAATGTGATGGTGTTAAGCGTGAATTAAGTGAAGCAAATATTGATGATCCTGTAAGTAATAGTACGAAGATAATGATTATTTAATTACTATCTTACTAGAGACAACATACTAGAAGACAACACATATAATCATAATAACAATGTTTTTATACAAAAATTTATAAAATTTATAAAATATTGTTTATCACTTAGGAATTAGAGGCGATTAAAGCGCGAGTGAGAGAAATGGAAGAAGAAGCAGAGAAATTGAAACAGCTTCAATCTGAGGTGGATAAACAAATGAATATGGGTAGTCCACCTGGCATCAGTAAGTTTACTTAAATTTATATTTTCTATGAAATATATTTAAGAATAAAATATGTGAATATTATTATACACTTTAATTCTTATTCAAGTCCTTTTTTTTTAAGTTTTAAACATGGAATAAACATATGTTGGTTTATTTTCTTACAAGATGAGATATTATTTCATATTTTTATGAATTTTATTCTTCTATACACTCATAATATTATTACTCAAATTAATCTCAATCTTTGAGGTAGCAAAAATTAAATTTTTATTTTTTGATTTACAATTGCTCTATCACATAACTGAATTTAATTTTTCATCACTATACATTTTTTAATTATAATATAAAGTTAAATATAATAATTATCTTTAACAATGTTGTTTTTTTATCACCTATTTAATTTTAGCAAGCCCATTAAATATGTCATTGGAAGATAAAATGGAAGTTGATAATCGATCCATTTATGTTGGCAATGTAAGTTAAATAAAATTCATTTATACCTTTTAAAAATTGCAAAACATAATACTATACATATCATTTTTATATTTTTAATCAATATTTTATATATTTTGCAGGTTGATTATGGAGCCACAGCAGAAGAATTAGAACAACATTTTCATGGCTGTGGCAGTGTCAACAGAGTGACAATTTTATGTAATAAATTTGATGGTCATCCTAAAGGTTTTGCTTACATTGAATTTGCCGAACGCGACTCTGTACAAACCGCAATGGCCATGGATGAATCTATGTTCAGAGGTCGTCAAATTAAAGTAATGCCTAAAAGAACAAATAAGCCTGGTTTCTCTATGACAAATAGGTAATATTTTCTTTATGTATACATATATATATATATATATATATATATATATAATCTTAAAATAATTATTATATAACTTATGAAATTATATATAATTATAAGATCATATATAAACTTTATAAACTATAAAAAAGTATCAAATAATATATATATAAAAAAGTTATTTAATTTTTTTCTTAAGGCTTTTATATCTTTTATTATCTGTATATTTTCTAGGGGTCCCAGAGGTGCAAGAGGCTATCGAGGTATGACTAGAGGAATTATTCGTAGTAGTGCATATTTTGGATATAGACCTACAAGGCGGCCTAGGTAATAATTAATTTTAACTTATTTCTTCTTTTAATGAATATACATATAGCAATATCTAGAGTATATTTTTATTCTTTTCAAAACAATATATTTTATTCTTTTTTATAAATTCTATTATTTTATGTTTCTTTTTTTCTTTAGGAGTTACAGACGTGGTTATTATATGCCATATTGACCATTTTAAGGTATGGCAACCTTGTTATACAAGAGTGTGTCAAAAGGTAAGTTTTTATTTTAAACTACATATATATGTATGTACATATATCATAATCTTTTATCGTTCAAAGAAAAGGTTTCAGTATAAAAAAATTAATGAAAAACTTATATAACTTATCACATACTTTGTACTGATTGATTGTAGCTAAATATCTTATAACTTCCCAAAAAATATAATTAGATGACAAACAAAAAGAATATAAAAGCAAAAAAAAATATTTAAAAAAACATTTCTTTGAACAATTTATACTTTGTGCATCTTGTTATAATTCAAGGAAGGAC